CCTGATGAATACATTTTCATATACGTTTAATATATATAAATGAATTTTATATTTTAAAATCTTCATCTCTAACCTAAATAACAGCTGGTGGTGCTTGCTCAGGCACTTCCTTAAAGGCTGACAACACGCTGCTATCTCTCCCATTTGTTCTCCCCTGTGGTCACATGTTTTTCTAATGAAGCCTACAATTGGTTGTTTTAACAGAAATGACGTAGGCATGGTCCATTGTTGTCACCATTAGGAAATCTATCCTGATAAATTAAATGCAGCTACCCCTGGAGTGCATGTAGGCAGGAAGTGCCTGTCAAGAGGCTGCAGGAGATCAACAACACTGAGCTACAACTAAGGATAAAAAAAAGGAAAACAAGTATTTTCTATTATATATTATTTTAAAGAAAGTGACAATTGTTTATGCTACACAGTGCTTTATCAAACTTAATAACATTCAGATAGGGTTTGCATCTTTTTGATAAATATTTGTACTCTTATTCTCTCTACGTACTCTAAAGCTGCCCATACACCTTACAATTATCTGCAGATTTTCGATGGTCAGATGGAAAAGGTGCAACAGATTCCTCCATCTACGCTAAACTGCGTGGATAGAGGAATCTCACACTGGGTCAAGCTTCCGTAATCTTGCTAGTCGGCCCCGCTGACTCTCAAAACACCTGAGCAATGCCTGCATCCAATCGGATTGTTCAGGTATTTTGGGAGCCAGCGGGGCTGACTGGCAAGATACTGAAGCTTGGCCCAGGTGGAGATTACTCCATCCACACAGTTAAGTGTAGATGGAGGAATCTGTTCCACCTTTTCCATCTGACCATAGAAAATCTGCAGATAATTGTAAGGTGTATGGCCAGCTTTAGGGTTTGTGGCGTTTTTAAAGTGACCCTAAACTCAGGAGATCAGTCTTACAAATACATTCAAGTACCTTAATTATGAACAAAAATGTATTTTATTTGTGTATCACTCGGCTGTAGATTCTCAAATCATCTCTGAATTGGTGACACTGTCCTTCCTTCTGGAGGGTGGCTACTTTTGTTCTCCATGGTCCCTGTGTGTGTTGTAAAGTAGCCTCCACTCCAAGCTCACTCCCGTGATGGACTACAATCTCAAATTTAGTTTACTCATTTGTATTGAGATTGTAGTCCATCACGGGAGTGAGCTTGGAGCGTTGACTACTATATAACACACAGGGACCATGGAGAACAAACGTAGTCACCCTCCAGGAGGAAGAACAGTGTCAGCACCAATTCAGAGATGATTTGAGGATGTACAGCTGAGTGATACACAAATAAGATTTTTGTTAATGATTAAGTTACTTGAATATATTTTTAAGCTTTAACTCCTGAGTGTCACTCTAACTACCAAGGCAAATATTGGCCATTGTATTTGCTAGCGCTTTTAAAAGCTTATAAGCTTTACTTCTTTTCAGACGACACTAATCAGCTGTTAAACTTAGCACTGTGGACACACAGAATGTTAGTAGTAGATATGAATAGTTGTCAGGTCCAAAATTCTATTTAATTTGGATAACCTAAATGTGCCCTTTGCATCATCCATGGAACAATGCCTGCATGCACCCCTCTCCCCTCTCCTGTGCCTTACAGGGTTGCTGGAGGAGGGTCCAGGGAGTCAGCCAATTAAAACTTGGCCAGACTTGGCAGACTCTGCAGGAGAAACTTGTGATTATCATACTGTCAGCTGGGACCAAATGAAAAAGGTTTTCAGGCTATCCCTGTCCCTAATCTACAGGCTGCGTGATCTACAAGACACAGGTATCTATAGCATGACGGACATACACCATTTCTCTGTCTTCCCACGATCACCTATACATGAACTATGCATGCAGCAATGAGCAGAGGATTGCATCATATAGATCCATACTTAGAATGGAAACCAAACTCACTCCTAGCTTGGTGTCTCTTGCTGGGGTGACTTAGTGTATACTATAACCAGATACCTATAGAATTCATGTGTTTTTATTTCTACTGAGTCCTAGAATAAAATAAGGGGTGTGCAATACCAATACTGCAACTCTGAAAATGAGTCAGGTGGACTTTTGTGATAAATCAACGGTTCTCTCATCTGAATTTCTTTTTTAGTCCTGTACATTTAAAAGATATGTCTTTTAAACCATAAAAAAGTTGTCATTAATATCGATTCTTTTTTTGCATTAAGTTATTTTTACTGCTTCCTACGTATATATTCTTCTGTAGCTCCATGTGCATAAGTCTATTTTTGTTCTGTCTCTTCATGTGGAGTGGTTTAACACTATACGTATAGCTGGAGAAGGTAATTCAGTGGGCGTGCTGGAGAAATCTGATACAGGCTGCTGCTTTTCAAGAACGATATAGACAGGACAGGAAAATGATGCAACTCTCTCTACAGCATTGCTCTCTGTCAATGGTAAGGATCTGCAGCCTTTCCTATGTATACATATATAGATTGTATGTTCCAATGTCTGATAGATTTATATGATGATTTCTTATGTGACTTTTACTACTCTGGCAGGGACCTCACCTGGTGGAAAATAGAACTGCCACCAGCTGCTTTACATAGGTATATATCTAGATATATATCTAGATATATATA